AAAAGGGTTTATGAGCAACAGTTGGCAACAAAGATTTTTGAGTATGTTACGTGTTAAAAATACGTTTTGTTGAATACTGGAACATGGCTTTTTAATTTCGATGACGAGGAACCCACTTTGAGACTAATAATGGCTGGAGACGGCTTGAATGGGTAATGATGAAAAACTTTAATATAAGTTTAATATAACAGCAAATTTACAACGTTTTGTCATCACCTGATGATGACAGAACCTTGTCGAAACATTGTACATTTGTTGTTATGTTAAACTTATATTAAAGTTTTTCATCATTACCCATTCAAGCCGTCTCCAGCCATTATATGGCTGTTTAATGTTCTCTTGTATTTTTCCAATATTTGTGATCCTTAGGATTTTATGAGAAATATGGTGTTGGTTTTTATAATTTGTAGTGCATTATGGAGGGATTTAGGCATTTTGGTATCAAAGTTAGAAAAAATTCATCTTTACTCTCCAGATATTGATTAAAAAACTTTTTTTATATCAACCAACATTTTGTCACTATTGTGGCTTCATTAGGACTAGAAGTACAAGAACAGTTCTTAATATAAATGGCAAATGACTTAATTATATTAAGTTCAAGATAATGTATTTTGCTAATCACAATATGTTTAAAATAGCTTGGAACCCATTGAATAGTATGTCTGAAGAAAAGGATCTAGACATAGCAGTGGATAAATCACTCAACCAACCAAAGTTGTTGTTAGAGTGGATTTATAGGCATTGATTACAAGTCATGCGTTACTTGGAATACTGTGTACAGTTTTGGTTTCCATGTTCCTGAAAGGATGTTGCCTAATTAAAAAGTAGTAGTACTAGGATGATTCCTGGGATGGAAAGGAAATAGGTTAAGATCTCGTAACTTATCTCCTATTGAGGTAATAAGTGATTTTACTGAAGTTTTGTACAATTATTTGTACTTGTTTGATTGTAAAACTTTTCACATGTTTGAAACCTGATATGTTTTCTACCTTTTCAAGATTTTAACAGTGACAGAACCACTAGAGGAACCAGAACCCCACTGCCAAGATTCAGTCATGCCAAAGCAAATAAAGAAAGAAGCACAGAAAAGCTTCACTCCCACAGTCATACAGAATGGAAGCTGGCATGTCGACGAAGCTAGCTCTAATGAATTTGACAAAAAACAACCCTTTGAACAGCCTTTAGCTCTGACTGTCAAAGAGAAAGAGAAGATAAACAGTGATTTACCATCTCCAGCAGAATTCCCACCTCTTCTGTTAAATGGACCAAACACTTTAGATGTAGTTCACTTTAACGAACCTATAAGACCTCTTGATCTGTCTCGGGTAACCTCCAAACATTCACTTGAAAGGTTGCCTCCAAAAGGTGGGTGCGTGCAGTGCGGTCGGGAAGGACGGCTAACGAAACGTGGCCGGCCACACGAAAGTTACTTCGGTTGTAAGTTATGCAAGGTACATCTGTGTCGAAAAAGGAATTGTTTTGAAGTTTGGCACACCGTGTGTTGAAACGTGTATACATTACAAAGTGCTTTCGCTTCCCATATCTTTGCCCAGTTGGTAGTGCTCGGCATTGTTGCCTTGAAGCTCGTACAGTAAACACACACTTAGTGAAAAACCTTACAATTTTAATTAGGAATTACTGTGCTTGACCCTCTAGTTATGTCACCTTTATTGTTTTCCACGTTTCAGCAACAGAAAAAGTCCCAAAGATTGGACGTTATTCTCAAGACAGAGCTGGCTCAAATCTTCAGACTGTGTGCCATGTAGAATTTATGCTTTTAAATAGTGGAAATATTCAATTCCTTAATATACATATGTTGTAGATTATGTAGGCTTGTTGTCATTTAATGATATTTTACTTGTATGATGAAGAACCCCAGTTTATTTTTACATATTAATGGAGTTTTTAATTATTTAAAGTTAAGTAATTACTGTTATTTTTTCATCACAAAACCTTTTGTGAATATTTTTTTAGTGTTAAAGGACCCAACTCTTACACGTTGCTAGAGTAGTAAACATTTACTTCACGTTTGACTTCTTTCGCCTTTATCAGCTTTTTGAAGGAAACACTCTAATAAATTGTGTGTGAACCTCTGATATCAGAACCTGCAGTTCAGGATCAAGGTGAGCCTTATCCATTGTGATGTCAAAAATACATATCTTTTAAGCTGAAAGCCAATTTTCTACTTCAAATTGTCGTAGGGAATGTGTGTTTTTACATACGTGAGGGTATTTATTTTATTCCATCATTATTAATGTAACAAGCGGTAATTCAGATTAACTTACATGAGACACAAAACTTTAAGAAAGATCTTTCTTCTAATGTATGATTTTTAACAAGTTTTTTTTTAACTTAAGCATCTGATCACTTGTTTGACCTTTCTAGCTTCTTACTTACATGCATTATTATTTCTTAAATTGACCAGAGGTTCACTCTAAGGTTGGATATGTTATCACTGATTTGAATTATAGAACAGACTAGAAATATGGTCATTAAGTTGTTAATTTAAGTTCTTATACTCTTCGTTACATTTAAATGAAGTTTTTAAGCATTCATTCCTGTATCTTGGACTTCCAATGTCAGGCTTTAGTGCATGTAAAATATCTGTACTGATGTTTATAACTATATATATATTAATTAGTGTTCATTAATAGTGAAACTTCTATCTCAAAATGGAAAATAATAATAATTTATGTGACAGATATCATAAGAGAGACATCCACGTCTGTCATACTGACTTATCTATCATTGGAAGTAAGAACCTTAATACAAAAATAACTTTATGGTGAGGTATACACTTTTACAAGGACTGTTTGTGGTAGTTCTGTATGTCATGGTTCTAGTAAGTTGGTTCAGGATGGTTTTCTACTATGAAGTGAACTGCAAGAAGAGGTTTAGTATAGATTATCTCAAGTAAGAAACAGGTGTATATATACAAGTGTGTGATGATTAGGTTATAAGACAAGTCAGTGGATTTTCCTGTGATCATTCATAGTTTCTGTTTTGATTATAATTTAGATGATATTGTTGAGTGCCAAATGATAAACTTGTTATTCTAACTTGGCTTACGACGAGGTGAGAAAGGATCACATATCAAACATGTCACACGTACGTCTTTATCTCCAACGTTATACTCTTGTCACAACGTGCAATTAAGTATTATCTGTCAGACTTGTTATTAGTATGCCAAGATACTGGTTAATTTTATTGTGTATGTTTTATGATTGTAAATTGTGTGAAATGTTTATTTTCCATGATTGTTGTTAGCCTTAAAAGTCAGGGATGGTAGAAACAAATCATTATTACAAATGTTAATTTTCTATAACCATGTCCAGAATGTCAGTTACATGTGTACAGGGGTGAAGTGGACCTGTTTTTGAAAGAGAACGACAATTTCAATGATTAACTGCTTTCTGATGGAATGCGCGTGCATCCGAAAAGCAGCTTAAATAACTAGTATAGCTCCTTAAAAAATAAGTACTGACAGAATTTCACCCCTGCGTGTTTATGTCACTTGGAGCTGTGTCAAAACATAGGTTTGACTTGAAATGTCACTTACAGGTGTAAGACATGCTCTCATAATTTATTATTAACACAATAAAATAAAAACTGAGCTGAGTTTGTATTCTTCAAATCCTGATTGAATGTATTCATCCTAGTATATAACACCTTGGAGTTTCTTTATGCTACAGAATGTGATGAAATTTGTCAGCAAGACGGTTCTTAATTTTAACTTCACATTGTTAGATGCAGGATCCTCCTGATAAGGTGTTTGACCTCATTTTAACTTCACATTGTTAGATGCAGGATCCTCCTGATAAGGTGTTTGACCTCCTGAATAACTTCACATTGGTTAGATGCAGGATCCTCCTGATAAGGTGTTTGACCTCATTTTAACTTCACATTGTTAGATGCAGGATCCTCCTGATAAGGTGTTTGACCTCATTTTAACTTCACATTGTTAGGTGCAGGATCCTCCTGATAAGGTGTTTGACCTCATTTTAACTTCACATTGTTAGATGCAGGATCCTCCTGATAAGGTGTTTGACCTCATTTTAACTTCACATTGTTAGATGCAGGATCCTCCTGAATAACTTCACATTGTTAGGTGCAGGATCCTCCTGATAAGGTGTTTGACCTCCTGAATAACTTCACATTGTTAGGTGCAGGATCCTCTCGATAAGGTGTTTGACCTCATTTTAACTTCACACTGTTAGATGCAGGATCCTCCTGATAAGGTGTTAGACCTCCTTTTAACTTCACATTGTTAGATGCAGGATCCTCCTGATAAGGTGTTTGACCATTAGAGAGCTTATACTCTTGTTTGAAGGTATATCCTGCTTAGTAATGTGGTCAATTGTTGTTCTGTGTGATGACAGTATTGATAATGTATCTTTCCATTTTGTACAAATTCTTTGTTTGTAGTCACTCTTATAATAATTGTATGGTATGTTAATTGGTGCAATTTTGAAATAATCCACCTCTCACAAAGCCGTTTTTTGGAGAATTCTAATCACTATGATTACTAAATTTAAAATTCAATTATGTGGTCCATGATTGAAGTTAGAATATTTTTAATCTAACAAAGCTGACATTTCATTAGTCGTTAATGATTTATCAACTGGCTCACTTTAGTCTCTTCCTTATAGTTATATAAGGTTAAGGAAACATGTTTTCTAGAGAGTTCTGGTACCAGATTAATTCCCTTTAAGACCTGCACAGCTAGAACGAAGGAATATTATCGAGTAAGACCACCATTGTCACAGTCCACAATTTCTTCAAAATTAACTTATTTTTATTAAATTTTTCTAGAATGTCTTAACGTTAAAAACAATTGTAAATCATACTTCACATGAGTTGCATAATGCCATAAATAAATGTTTTTTTATTTAATAGCAGGCATACCTAACCTGTGGCATAATTTAGTTTTTATGAAATCTTACATTAAAAGTTCCTTCCCACCTTTTTGTGGATGACTTCCCTGAGCAATAAAATTAGAAGCTTGAAATTGGTGTGGTGTTCAAGTAAGCTTCGTTTTCACCGAAATTTTAAGAACATAACCAGTACTTCAGATTTAGCAGAGTTAAAATACATATGATTTTAACATAATCATCCCAGCTGTAATAGCTTCATATTAGTTGTCATGATCTGAATTTTTACTTATCTTTTAGGCTTAACCACTGTGTTTGTGGTGTTGGGTTAACTTATGAAATGGGTGGCAAATATATTGTTGACTATACAATCTACTTATGTAGCTCAAGTGTAGAGAACGTTTCAAGTCTTCTGCCTTTAGTCTGCAGGCCTTATATAGTACTCAGGTGTACTAAAATGGACGTGCTTTGGTTGGTTGGTCCTGGGCTACAAGTGTTTCTCTAACAGGTAGCTGCTGCCCATTTCAACTGTGCCTAAACTATCTACCAAAGAATAATTAAATTACGGACATGGCAAGATTTCCTTCTGATAACTTTTCCATTACCTGATCTGTTGAAAAAATGAAGGGTTATCTTTTTATTGTAATGACAGCAGAATTTTCACTCTCTCTGTAGGTGGAACCGATTGTGATATTTATTGCCGTATAATAGGTGTATAAGCAATTGAAGATTTAAAGGTGCAGGTTGTAATAAACCACAAATCTCAAGAGTTGCCTGCACCAAGCTAGGTAGAAAAATTTTGTAATGATGTTTTGATGTAATGTATTCCAAAGATCTTAACATTTATATAAAAAAACGTTTCTATTAATGTTAAATAAAATATAAACGTTACTGATTTCCTGAACCCCTTTCATCAATGTACAGAATATTTGATAATTCTTCTACTACTACTAGCAAGAAATCTGAACACCTGAAGGTGCTAATCTTATAATGTGGTGCTAACAAGTCGACATTGATACTGCTACCATAACAATTATTTGACTGCTTGCTTTTTTTTTTAAGCATTAAACTGTTGTTTTCATCAGTGCCTTTTGTCTATAAATATGTAAATACTTAGTATAAATTTAAAACTCAGTATTGTTTCCAAAGATTTTTAATAAAGATATGTAAAAATGTTCTATGTAGGTGTTACTCTGTGGTCTAAAAGCGTGACAATCTAAAGAAAACCACAAGAATTTTGGTCAGATACAAGGTGCTAGTCCTTGGAAATAACTAATGTCTCCAACTATTGCCATATTGATTAATTCAACTTAATCTATTATTGAAGCCTAGTGTGAGAAGTATAGATTAGTTGAATGTAATTGGTTATCATATTTCAACAATCATGTTCATGATGTTAAAAAAAAACAATACCCTATAAGCTGCTTTTGAAACGTGGACCTTTAGAAAGGGCTCGGGTTTTAGGGTATTGTATTTTCTTGTTACCCTGATGACATCGGTAGGGATGCCAGTGTCGTTATTGAAACAAACTAGAGCAGAACTCGTGTTTGGCCAGAACACAATAAAAGACGTTTTAATAATAATTCTGTACACAACTGAGATATACATTATATTATCACAAGTACCAAAATGTACATCAAAGTAAAGATAGATCTGTTTCTTCAGATGCAATACTTGTGTCAGGTTGTGAAGAGAGAGAGACGTACACACGAAAGATACGAGTTTTAAAACAAACTGAATTGATAGACTTTTTAGTGAAACAGGAAATTGATTTACTTATTCAACAAAAGATTAAATTATCACGTAATATTTTTTATTACAACTACGTCAATAAAAATTAAACTAATTTTCATAAGATGACATCAGTTTTAAAAAGTTACTAACACAATCAATTTATTTGAAAGAAATCCATTCTTTAAGGGTATGTTTAAACTAGGGAAAAGTTATTCCTTTTCTTCAAATAAACATCACTGGCATTTAAATAAATTATTTACAAAAAAGAAATGAGCATTTTACAGTTTTAGAAACATTCTAAAATAACCATATTATGCTAAGTTTGCACATAAATCTCCTTCTTAAAGTAATCACAACACAAAATGAGTACTTAAAGATTTATGGCTTACAGGATTGTGTTGAAATAGCTAGTAATTATTTTTTTTTTTACCTTTTCTTGCTATAGGTTGCAAACGGTTACATAAATATATATGTATTTGTTTTAAAGAAAAGGTTACAAGCTTAGAGTAAAATACATTATGATTGCTTGGTATCACTGAGATAATTTACTACATGTATTGATAAAAATGCACATGGTTTTCGTGGAAGAATACATGTCTTATGTCCATTGTTGAGAGAGACAATATCCTGTACTAGTCTCTACCATGATAAGAGATTACAAGCTGGAGATATTTTACATACAAAGGGAGAGCACTACTTACTGATATGACACTTTGCTCCTACATAGCAAGGTTTCTTTTCTGTACAAATATTTTGAAATAATACAGTCTGCTTAGCAACGACATTCGTGCAGCTTGTTCAGTATCTCCGGCAAGCCATGTCACAACACTTGTGAGGGAAACCCTCTTCTTGTCTTGCGACAGATACTACCACGCAAGTGGCTACGTCCATCAAATGATTAGACTAACGACAGTCGGTGTCACATTACCTCTTCCTCCTCTTCACCGAACAGGAAACAAAACTGATCGATCATTGTCTGCACTAAATCTTCTAGGTGTGGCCTCATTCTTTCGAACATTCCCATGTCACTGAACTCTAAAGGCAAGAGCGTGGGCCACCAGCAGATGGCCAGGTTTTTGCTGTCCATATTATTTAGTCGGCAGTTTGTGGCCACCCTAGAATGATGTAAAAACTCACGTGTTTTTATGTCTGCAAGTAATCGAAACAGCGTTATTAAATATGAAAAACAAGTTGCTAGGAGATATCTGAGAACTGTAAGGAGCTGTAGTGAACACTCAAAAGCCTTTTTCTTCCTTTGAATTATGAATGAGGTTGCATTAATATAAACGTGATTACAGTACTACCTTAATAAACTTGCTACTAAGATAAGATTAAAGCTTTATTTTCGGGAGAGACCCCAAGATATTATACACCCAAAATAAAGCTTTAATCTTATCTTAGTAGCAAGTTTATTAAGGTAGAGAGACCCCAAGATATTATACA